TCAAGACCAGCCTGGCCAACATGGTGAAATCCTGTCTCTACTAAAAAAAAAAAAAAATACAAAAATGCTGGGCATGGTGGCTCACACCTGTAATCCCAGCACTTCAGGAGGCCGAAGCGTGCGGATCACTTGAGGTCGGTGAAAATAAAATAAATGGACAAAAAAAGACCCATGACAAAGAACCCAGTTGACTAGCAGTCAATTTCCTCTCAAAAACCTGTCAAAGTGTTTTACAGTTTTACATTCTGGCCCGGTCTCACCCATGTCTGAGCCCAGAGGGAGTTGTTTTTGGCTTAAGTGTTGGCAAAATGGGAAACAGGTAAGAGTAAAGTCAGTTTTGCCTCAGCTTAGGAAAGTCCATAGTTCTGCCTCTATCTTGATCCTGCTTTTCCAAGTACTGCAACAAGTAACAAGTATTTCTGCCAATCTCTTTCTTCTTTTTCTTTTTTTTTTGAAACGGAGTCTCTCTGTTGCCTAGGCTGGAGTGCAGTGGTGTGATCTTAGCTCACTACAGCCTCTGCCTCCCGGGTTCAAGCAATTCTCCTGCCTCAGATTCCCAAGTAGCTGGGATTATAGGCACACACCACCACTCCCGGCTGATTTTTGTATTTTTTAGTAGAGACAGGGTTTCGCCATGTTGGTCAGGTTGGTCTCGAACTCCTGACCTCGTGATCCGCCCACCTTGGCCTCCCAAAGTGCTGGGATTACATGGGTGAGCCACCACGCCCAGCCTAATTTTGTATTTTTTTTTTTTAACAGAGACGGGGTTTCTCCATGTGGGTCAGGCTGGTCCTTAACTCACAACCTCAGGTGATCTGCCTGCCTCAGCCTCCCAAAGTGCTGGGATTACAGGCATGAGTCACTGCGCCTGGCCCCAATCTCTCGTTTCTCAGAAATTTTATCCATCCTTATTCTTATCCATCCTTATTCTCCTTATGGGAGAAGTAAAAATTGAGTACTAGGCAAGGACCAAATTATTTTCATGGCACAAGGTCTCTCAATCCTGGCCTCAAAAAGTTATAAGTCTTCCATATAAAGGCTAGTTTTCATCATCAATAAGAAACCCCAGGTGGGGTGCAGTGGTTTACGCCTATAATCCGAACACTTTGGGAGGCCAAGGCGGGAGGATTGCTTGAGGTCAGGAGATCAAGACCAACCCGGGAAATATTGTGAGGCCCTCTGTCTACAAAAAATTTAAAAATTAGTCGGGCATGGTGGCACACACCTGTAGTCCCATCTCCTCAGGAGGCTGAGGCAGAAGAATCACTTGACTCCACAAGGCTGAGGCAGCAGTGAGTCATGATCATACTATTGTACTACAGCCTGGCCAAGAGAGTGAGACCTTCTTTCTCCCAAAAATAAGAAACCCCAGCTGGGCGCAGTGGCTCATGCCTGTAATCCCAGTACTCTGGGAGGCTGAGGCGGGCGGATCACGAAGAGATTGAGCCCATCCTGGCCAACATGGTGAAATCCCATCTCTACTAAAAAATACAAAAATTAGCTGGGCGTGATGGCACGTGCCTGTAGTCCCACCTACTTGGGAGGCGGAGGCAGGAGAATTGCTTGAACCCAGGAGGTGGAGACTGCAGTGAGCCGAGATTACGCCACTGCACTCCAGCCTGGTGCCTGGCAACAGAGCAAGATTCTGTCTCAAAAAAATAAATAAATAAAATAAGAAACCCTAATTCAATTTGGCAAACACAGGGGATTTTGCTCCAAATTCCCTTTCTCCTTTTACCTGAAAGCTCAAACTAAGCTATTGGATAGGACAAACACTAACCCCTGCGCAGTCTGGATTAGCACTACCCACACCAAGGCCTCTTAGTAACCTTAACTGCCTCTCATGCAACATCCCACAGGAGCCAACTCAAAGAGAGATGTTGCAAAATGAAACTGAGATGCAGTTTGACCACTTTTTAGAATGTCCCTGAACACTATAGCCACCACATACCTTCTAGTCTTTTCCAGAAAAGGCAGGAGGCTTGAGGAGCTAGGGACGGAAGGGAAAACGTAGATTCTGCAAGAACATCAGTCAGGAGTTGTTCCCAAGCTCTGCTTGCTCTGGTAATGTTTCTCTTTTCCTATTTGCTTTTGGAAGTAAAGCCAGGTCTCCTGTCCTAAGGAAGCTACCTCAAAGACACAGGCTTTTCTGCCCAGATATCAGCTAAAATCAAATTGCATATGCTACAACATAGATGAATCTTGAACATTATCCTAAGGAGCCAGACACAGAGGGCCACATACTGCATTACTCCACTTACATGAAATGTACAGAATAGACAAATCTCTAAAGACAGGAAGTGAATTGTGAGGGGCTGGTGGGTAGTAAGAATGTGGACTGCCAATGGGTATAGGGTCTCTTTTAGGGCTAACAAAAATGTTCTCTGAGGCCAGATGAAGTGGCTCATGACTGTAATCCCAATACTTTGGAAGGCCAATGTAGGAGGATCGCTTGAGGCCATTAGTTCAAGGCCAGCCTGGGCAACACAGTGACACCCCATTAAAAAATCAAACTACCCTGTAGTCCTGGCTACCACAGAGGTTGAGGAGGAGGATCACTTGAGACCAGGAAGTTGAGGCTGCAGTGAGCAGTGATTGCACCACTGCACTCCAACCTGGGTAAGGGTGAGATCCTATCTCAAAATAATAATTCTGGAATTAGATAGTGGTGATGGTTGTACAACTTTGTGACCACATTAAAAGCCACCTAATTATACACTTGAAAAGGACTAAGTTTATGGCATGTGAGTTATATTTTAACTTTTTTAAATGGGAGGAAAAACCAAATTGCAGCCAATTCCTTGGTCTTGGGGAGGCCCTTTCCCCCTAGAGCAGTGCTCCTCAAAGTATGGTCCTGAGACTAACAGAATCAGCGTCACCAGGTAATGACTAGAAATGCGTGTTCTCAGGCCCCAGTCCAGACCAGCAGAATTGGGAATCTGGTGATGAATCTGCAATCTGTGCTTTAACAAGACTGCAAACTGATTCTGATGCATGTTTTGGCATTTTGTTTGAGACACAGTCTCACTTTGTCGCCCAGGTTGGAGTGCAGTGGCGCAATCTCGGTTTACCACAACCTCCGCCTCCCGGGTTCAAGTGATTCTCCAGTCTCAGCCCCAAGTAACTGGGATTACAGGCACCCACCACCACACCTGGCTAATTTTTTGTATCTTCAGTAGAGATGGGGTTTCACCATGTTGGCCAGGCTGGTGTTGAACTCCTGAACTCAGGCGACCTGCCTGCCTCAGCCTTCCAAAGTGCGGGGATTACAGGCATGAGCTATTGCACCCAGCCAGTGCATCTTCTTAAGAACCACTGCTTCAGGGCAGGGGACTTTTTGTGTCAAGGATCAGACAGTAAATATTTTAGTCTTTGCATGCCATGTAGGTAGGGTCTCTGTCATTCCTATTATTCCTTTTTACGACTCTTTAAAAATGTAAAAACATTCTTAGCTCCCAGTTGCACAAAAACAGGTAGCAGGTGGATTTGGCCCCGTGAGTCATGGCTTGCCAACTCTTGCTCTAGGGCAACACAGCTCCCATTCTGGGAGATCTCCGGAGCTTCCCGTGGAGACAGGTGGATTCGTCCCCTTTAATGAGGGAAATAAACAACAGCCTCCAGGGATCAGACAAGTTCCCCTGATATAATAGTTGTGATACCATCTGACATGCCCAGGCCGAAGACCAGATCCTGCTTTCCATTCAGGCTTTATTGACTTAGTTTACAGTTTGTATGCGTGTGTGCCTGTGTGCTCTCTCAAGAAATTTATTCAGTTCACAGTGGTATCTTTTGGACAGAGTCAGCAATCCTACCAGACAAAACTTATACACACATTGATTCCAGATGAGCCACAACAATCCCCCAGGGAGCTTGAGAAACCACCTAGGGCAGCCAAGCTGGGGAGGGGAAGTGGCTGTGCTTTGCCGAATGTCCTTTAAGGCTCTTTGGTCCTGGTTAATTTCCTCTTAGAAAGGTCCAATTAAAACTTCCCTTTCCTATTCAGTACACACCAGTCTTTCTTTGGTGTTTAACCTAATGGGCTGAGGAGGGGAGGTGGCCAGGAAATTATACCCATTAAAGTGTGTGGTTAACTGACTATGTACATCATTTTTACTCACAGTTAATGGACTTATCTTTTAAAATAGAGATATGTGGCAGTAGGGAAAGAGCACTTCCCTTATTACAGAGAAGATTCTAAGAATAGATTCAGACATGATTTGAAGAACCATGTAACTCTGCTGCCTTGCATGGTCTCCTTTTCAGCACTGATCACTCCTGGGTGTCTGGTCATTTCAAGGTTAGCAGCTGTCCCAAAGAAGCTGTCCCTGTCAGGTGCAGTGGCTCACGCCTGTAATCCCAATACTTTGGAAGGCCAAGGCGGGCAGATCACATGAGGTTGGTAGTTAGAGACCAACCTGGCCAATATGGTGAACCCCTGTCTCTACTAAAAATACAAAAATTAGCCAGGTGTGGTGGTGGGCACCTGTAATCCCAGCTATTTGGGAGGCTGAGGCAGGAGAACTGCTTGAACCCGGGTGGCAGAGGTTGCAGTAAGCCAAGATTGCACCACTGCATTCCAGCCTGGGCAACAAAGAGAGACTCCGGCTAAAAAAAAAACCACAACTATCAGACAAGGAGGCAATGAGGAAGGGTGGAGATGGGCCCCAAGAGGACAGAGTCCTTCCCCCCTTCTTTTTCCTGTATTCAGCTAAAATTGCCTGGGTAAAAGGTTCCATTGCTCGGGAGAGGAGGAGGAAGTGAAGAAGAAACAGGTGTAGAAACTTCCTTTTGAACCAAAGGCTTTTCCCCAGTCCTGGCTGGAACGGGCCTCAGCTTCTGGTCTACAGGGGACAGGGGCTAAGGAGGAAGCAGCTTGAAGACGTTGGCCTTTGCTTCCCTTTTTCACTTTTTCCCCCTGGAGTCCAGTCAACCAGGTGCCAGGGTGTAAGCATGAGGCATTCATTGTCCCACCCCCCAATCTACCCTGGCCTTCAGGCCTTGCTGGCAAAGAGGAAGGAGGGCACAAGTGTACACATAGCTAAGGAGGAGCTAGTGAATATGTGAACAGACTGGTCCTTGCTGATGTGGGGCATTTAGAGGCCCTTATTGAAGTAGACATAAGGCACAAGTTCTCCATACTTGGCCTTGATGGTGTCTTGGAGCTCTGGTTCCAGATAGGAAACCGGCAATTCACTGAAAAGAGAGCAGAAGGGGATTATGAGCATGCCACCTAGGACAAACTGTAAGCTACTCTCAGATGAAGCCCGACTCAAATATCACCTCCAAGAAGCCTTCCTGATTTTTCTAGCTAGGATTATTATTGGCCTCAGTACACCACAATGTGCTGCTTTACCATTACTCAGGCCTGACTGCATTCTCCTTGGGCTAAGGTTCTTCCTTTAAAATTCCATCTTCTCCACAAGACTACAGATGCAGTGCTTAGGAGACAAGAGATGTCTAGCAGACGACCACAGAACTAGTATTGAACTAGAGTACTGAGGAAGGGAAGACTGGCATCGTCCGGGTATATATTCAAGCTACACTTGTCTCCTGGGGCCAGTCACCCCCAAATCCCCAGTCTGACGCATCCCTTCCCTTTTCCATCATCCTTTCTCCCTGCTTCCCCTTCTTGGACACACAAGGGAAATAAAGGGGCTTGGGTCATCAGCCCTCTGCCCGTCCCCTTATTTATTTTTTGAGATGGAGTTTCACTCTTGTTGCCCAGGCTGGAGTGCAACGGCATGATCTCAGCTCACCGCAACCTCCGCCTCCCAGGTTCAAGAGATTCTCCTGCCTCCGCCTCCTGAGTAGCTGGGATTAGAGGTATGCACCACCATGCCCGGCTAATTTTATATTTTCAGTAGAGACAGGTTTTCTCCATGTTGGGCAGGCTGGTCTCGAACTCCTGACCTCAGGTGATCCGCCCGCCTCAGCCTCCCAACGTGTTGGGATTACAGGCATGAGCCACCGTGCCTGGCCCCTTATTAATGTTAAAGACCAGCCAGGTGTGGTAGCTCACACACCACTGCACTCTAGCCTGGGCGACAAGAGTGGAACTCCATGTCAAAAAAAAAAAAAAATATCCAGCTGGAATAGAGCTTCCTAATAATCCAGCCAGCAGGGAGAGAAAGTCTCTTGTTGCTCCCCAACCTTCTCTCCAAGGCAGCCCTTGCTCCACTGGGAGGGAGCAACCTTATTCCTGCCCCTCACAATCTGTTGTGCCAAAGTTCACCAGGGTTAAGAGGCCCAGCCTTTAAGCTGATGGGCACTTGTCCTTGGATAGGTGCTGCCCTTTCTGCCCCTTCCTTGTCTCCTTCTGGACAGCTGGCAGGTCAGGGAAAGCACTGGCAGGGTGGTCAATGAAACCAAGTGAGGAATGAACAGCAGATACCATATTTGTGGGAAGAGCCCACACGCCACTGGCACCATGAAGATGAGGCTGCAAGAAAGGAGAAACCAAAGCATTAGGGGACATCTACCCACAAGCCCACCCATCCTCCATCCCCTGGGGAAGGGAGCAATGCCGGGCACCTGGCCTGCCTTCCCAGCTGGCCCTATATCCTCTCCCTCCAACCCTTCGAGGATAGTCATTCTCGCAGGGGAATAAAACCAGTGCCCTCCCTACCCCCATCACTCATTCCCACCCCTACTCCATTGTTCAAGCAGAGGAAGAAGTCAATGAAGTAACCAGGGACTGTGAGCAGCAGGCCTAAGGAGCACAGGCACTCCTGGCATGGAGGGGAGAGGCACCATGAGGAGGGAGAGGGACATGAAGTGGGGAGGAGCAACGAGGAGGGAAAGGAAGGACATGGAGGAGGAGGAGGGACATGGAAGGGGAAGAGGGATGGGGAGGGAGAGGAGGGACATGGAAGAGGAGGAGGGACATGGAGGGAGAGGAGTGACATGGAGGGGAAGGAGCGATGAGGAGGGAGAGAAGGGACATGGAAGGGGAGGAGGGGCATGGAGGGAGAGGAGGGACATGGAGGGGGAGGAGGGACTTGGAGGGGAAGGAGGGACATGGAGGGGAAGGAGCAATGAGGAGGGAGAGGAGGGACATGGAGGGGGAGGAGGGANGAGGAGGGACATGGAGGGGGAGGAGTGATGAGGAGGGAGAGGAGGGACGTGGAGGGGGAGGAGCGATGAGGAGGGAGAGGAAGGACATGGAGGGGGAGGCACATGGAAGGGGAGAAGGGACATGGAGGGAGAGGAGGGACATGGAGGGGAAGGAGCGATGAGGAGGGAGAGGAGGGACATGGAGGGGGAGGAGGGATATGGAGGGGGAGGAACGATGAGGAGGGAGAGGAGGGACATGGAGGGGAAAGAGCGATGAGGAGGGAGAGGAGGAACATGGAGGGGAAAGAGTGATGAGGAGGGAGAGGAGGGACATGGAGGGGGAGGAGGGACATGGAGGGGGAGGAGGGACATGGAGGGGGAGGAGGGACATGGAGGGGGAGGAGGGACATGGAGGGGAAGGAGGGACATGGAGGGAGAGGAGGGACATGGAAGGGGAGGAGGGGCATGGAGGGAGAGGAGCAATGAGGGAGAGGAGGGACATGGAGGGGGAGGAGGGACATGGAAGGGGAGGAGAGACATGGAGGGGGAGGAGCGGTGAGGAGGGAAAGGAGGGACATGGAGGGGGAGGAAAGACATGGAAGGGGAGGAGCGATGAGGAGGGAGAGGAGGGACATGGAGGGGGAAGAGTGATGAGGAGGGAGAGGAAGGACATGGAGGGGGAGGGGGGACATGGAGGAGGAAGAGCAACTTAGAGGGGGAGGAATGACATGGAGGGGAAGAAGCAACAAGGAGGGAGGGGAGCAACTTGGAGGAGGAGGAACAGCGTGGAGGGGGAAGAGCGACTTGGAGGAGGACGAATGACTGGGAGGGGGAGGAATGACTTGGAGGAGGAAGAGCATGGAGGGAGAAGAGCGAGTTGGAGTGGGAGGAGGTACTTGGAGGAAAGAAACTACTTGGAGTGAGAGGATCAACTTCAACAAGGAGGAGCAACATGGAGGGGGGAGGGGTGACGAGGAGGAAAAGGAGCCACTTGGAGGAAGAGGAACAGCATGCAAAGGGAAGAGGGACATGGAGGGGGAGGAGTGATGAGGAGGAAGTGGAGCCACTTGGAGGAAGAGGAACAGCATGGAAAGGGAGGAGGGACATGGAGGGAGAGTTGTGAGTCTATGGATTCTGAGACCTACTTCTTTATTGGTTGAACTCCTAGGCTGTCAGAGCACAGTGAAAGGCAATTTCTCCAGATTCACTGTGCATATAACTTCAGGAGCTTGTTAAAATGCAGGTGCCAACTGAGGGGGTCTGAGGAAGGGCTTCAGAGTCTTTACTTCTAACAAGTTATCAGATGATGCCAATGATGCTGGCCAGGACCAGGGTTTGGGAGGCAAAGCCTTAAAGGATGTGGGACCCTGACAGACCTGGGTTGGTATCCCAGTTTTACCACTTACTAGCTGTGCCATCTTGGGCAAGTTACCTCAGAGACACAGAGGGAGGACAACCTACTTTTTGGGGCTACTGGAACCCACTTTGCAGTGACTACTTTGCAGGGCTACTGTGAGGATTCAATGAGATATCTGCATAAAAGCACCCAGCCCATGGCAACTACTCAATTAGCAAAAGTTGGTATAGCATAATGTTAGACTGTTGATCAAATCTCAGCACCAGCAGTTACCAGATATATACCCTTGGGCAAGTTTCTTACTCTGTCTAAGCCTTAGTTTCTTTTTCTTTTTCTTTTTTTTTTTGAGATGGAGTCTTGCTCTCGTTGCCCAGGCTGGAGTGCAATGGCATGATATCAGCTCACTGAAACCTCTGCCTCCTGGGTTCAGGCGATTCTCCTGCCTCAGCTTCCCAAGTAGTTGGGATTACAGGCGCATGTCACCACACCTGGCTAATTTTTGTATTTTTAGTAGAAATGGGGTTTCGTCATGTTGGTCAGGCTGGTCTCGAACTCCTGACTATGTGATTGTCGGCCTCAGCCTTCCAAAGTGCTGGGATTATAGGCATGAGCCACCACACCTGGCCAGCCTCAGTTTCTTCATTTGTAAAAGGAGATGATAATAGTAGCTAGGCTGGGAGAATTAAGTGAAATTATAGATATGAAGCATTAGTTCAGTGGGGACACAGAGAAAATATACAGTCCATGTTAGTTGTTAGTGTTACTGTCATCAGTCCCATGGCCCTGAAAAGCATGGTGAATGCCAGGACATCTCCAGTTAATGGCAGACACCTAAGAACACTGTGTGACTGGTGCCATTTCCCTTCTGTGTGGGGCTGGGACACATGACAGTCCCAGCCAAAGCTATGTCTCCTCATTCTTTTTTTCTTTTTTTTTTCTTTCTTTCTTTTTTTTTTTTTTTTTTTTTTTTTTTTTTTTTTTTTTTTTTTTTTTTTTTTTTTTTTTTTTTTTTTTTTTTTTTGAGACGGAGTTTCGCT